TTTTGTTTGGGAGGAGACTGGGAGGGCAGCAGAGAGCGGACGCCTACCTGGAGAAACCTGCAGTTAGGTGTGGCCGGAGCTGGAGAGGCTGGAGTCGCGGGATGGGCAGGAGGCGGGCAGAAAGTTGGAGTAAGCAGGAAGTGAAGCTGTGGCTGCCTTGAGTGGAAACAGACTCGGCGAGTACTGCTTTGAGAGGCCCAAGTGCTCCGAGACATGGTGAGTGGCGTGGGGGACTAGGAAAAGAGAGATTTAGGGGGGCTACGAGAGGGGGATTGGGCCTGGGGGTTGCCTGTGTCCAGTTAGGTAAGTTGGCGACAGTCAGAGGGCTGGCCCTATGGGGCCAGCGCTGCCTCTGTCTCTTTACTTTTGACAACTCGTCCACAAATAGCTCTGCGCTCCGGGCCAGGGGTTCCTGACACTTCTCCACCGCCTTCCTCCTGTGACCTCGGAGCTGGATCCGATCAGGGTTTCGGTGGGGGCTGGGGGGGGGCCCGAATTCCAAGCCAAGCTGCTGCGCCGCGCCCTCCCCCTCCTCCGCCTCCTCCAGCTGGGCCTGAGCCCGGTGTCGTGACATTACTGGGCCACAAGTGCCCCTGCTCTTTGGAGCTCAGATTCCAGCCCAGCGGGCCGGAGTTCTCCCCCTTAGCCTCGCACTGGACACCCACAGGATCTGCCTGGCCACCAGAAGCAGCCCCTTCTCCAGAAACATTAGCACCCGCGCCGGGGTTTGTAAAGCAGCCAGACGTCGGTTCTCCCTGACAGTCTGGCTTCAGCCCACCCCCGTGGCTGGTACCTGAGGCCCCCTGGGTCACTAAGGGAGGAGTCCATGCCTTTTCCCTCCCGAGTTCAAAAGCCTTATCTAGAGGCCTCCTGGATAGAGAGACCGCAGCAGGGAGGACTTTCAGTATCTACATAAGCAGGCGGTGGTGTGGGGCCGACACCAGGCGCTAAAGCAGAAGGTGCGGTCCAACGGCACATGATGCCTTCTGGGGGCCACAGCCACTGAACCGCGGGTGCACTGCGCAGCAGGCCGGAACCAGAACAACTCGACAACAGCTGTCTGGAGAGGCACTCGGATTGGGCCAGGCAAGGGTGCTCTGCTGGCCGGCTCTCACACTTTTAGTGAGAACCCACTAGGATCGGGAAGAGGGTGCCGTGGAGACCCGTCAACAGGACTGGGCTGCGCACTGCCGAGGGAAACTGAAAGGCCAACTGTGTCATCTCCCCGACCTTTGTGGAGAGTGGAAATAGGGACAGGTGTGTGTTGATTTTCCTTGTCAGGGACCCTGAAAATCCCCCCCAAAGAAGGCGCATGACAGTCCAGAACAAAATCTCATTTTCTGGGACTTAAAAACACACCGATGTGGCAGCCAAAATGGCTTGGCAGGTAAAAGGCGCCTGCAGCGCAAGCCTGCCACTTCCATCCTCAGCCACTGCAGAAGACATCAATCCGCTGGTGAAAGTTTCCCTCTGACCTCCCCACGAACGCTGTGGTGTGCATGCATATTCCCCATCCCACACCCACTGACAGATAATACACATATATTGCACTTAGGCAGGACTGAGAGTATGGCTCAGTTGATAGAATGTTTGCCTGGCATGTGTGAAGCTCTGGGTTCCATCCCCAGCAGCCCATAAACCAGGAGTGGTGGTGCACACCTGTAATCTCAGCACCGGGGGAGGTAGAGGCAGGAGGATCAGTTGTTCAAGGTCATCCTATTTAGGAAGGAAGTTTGAGGCCTTCCCAGGCTCCATGAGACCCTGTCTCAAATAAATAAGTAAATAAATAAAGCTGGTGGGGTGGCTCAGTGGGTAAGTGCTTGCCACGTAAGAACGGAGGTTTGAGTTGGAACCCCAGATCCACATTAAAAAAAAAAAAAAATCCAGGTGTGGTAGCCACAAGCACTAGGTGTGATGTGTTGGGATGGTCGAGATAAGCTGATCCCTGGGGCTTGCTGGCTAGCCTAATCTGAGAGCCCCAGGCCAACGGGAGAGACCCAGCCTGGGAGGGGGAAGAAAAAAAAAAGCAAGGTAGAAGGCGCCTGTGGAATGACACCTGACTACCGGAAGCTGATCTCTGGCCCTCCATGTCAGGTTACACACATGTGCGTGCACACACACACACACACACACACACACCCATGAACACTGACAAAGAACATTCTCTTTGTAAAGTATTAGAAATGGCTAAAATCTACTTTAGCTCTTCCAACTTCCTCTGGCCTCTTGGATCCTCGCCGCTTGGTCTAATTAACCCCTGTATTGACATCCAGGAGGAAGCCAGTGGGGGTGCCGGAAATGACCGAGTTAGGAACCTGCAGAGTGAGGTGGAGGGAGTCAAGAATATCATGACCCAGAATGTGGAAAGAATCTTGGCCCGAGGGGAAAACTTGGACCATCTCCGAAACAAGACCGAGGACTTGGAAGCCACGGTGAGATGGGGAGCAAACTGGGGTAGACAGAGAGATCTCACCGGGGAGGGGAGAGTTTGGGGGGGCCTGGAGGGGGCAACATGAGCAGAAGAGGTGGTAGACTACCGTGTCTACTGGCCTCTTGCCTTTCAGGGAACTTTGAGTTCCCTCTTCTGGTTCCATGCTACTCGGCTGGTTGGTACAGAGCCCAGTGAGTGGGTCCATCTGGGCTTGGGGGGGGGGTTCACCCACAGAACCATTCCCGAGACAGGTCAGTCGTTCAGTCAACTGCTGCATTCTTAGGCTTCTTTGGGGGCACGAAGCTGATTCTTCTTTTGAAGCCCTTGACAGTCATTTGGAGCTGACGTCCCCAAGGCAAAGCTTTGAGCACTGGGGAAGCGGTCCTGGGCTTTCAGCATTTTCCACGAGTTACTAGGCTGGGAGTAGGAAAACAGAGTTTTGCTGAGTCTGTTTAAAACACAACTGAGAAGAACAGTGAAATTCTTTGATCCCAGGATCCCTCTGCCTGCCAAAGACCAGAATAATATCTCCTACACATCTTGCTTAGGCCAGCTGCTCAGGGAGGAAGGAAGTCGGGCACCAGCCAAGGCGGGGAGCCTCAGTTTCCACATGCTGTGGAGAACTCTGGCTTTCTGGGCCCTGTGTGCAATCATGGAATCTCGTGCCTCCTGCAGCGTAAGCTGGGTACACAGAGGCTTCGTGTCTGTGAGTCAACTTGGGGGAGCAGGAGGCATTTTCTTACTCTCTCAACCTTCTGAAGTGCCCTGATTCTGCCTCCAGCTGCCACAGTCCCTAGAAGACAAAGGGTCATAGAGCCAGGAGATGTTCCCATCTGGGGCACATTCCTGTACCCCTCCATCCGTGGGTCTGCTCTCCAAGGGCCAGATGGCTCTGCCTACCAAACAAACCTGGATTGTGGGCATATGTAAAACACCCCTCAGTGTGCAGGCTGGGGGGGGGGGGCGGCCAAGAAAAAGAAGGAGCCTGGATAGGGCAGAGTTCTTGACTAGAGTTCATGAAACCCTGGGTTCAGTCCCTGGCAACATATAAACAGAGCATTGTGGTACATGCCTGTAATCCCAGCTCTTGGAAGGTAGTGGCAAGAGGATCAGAAGTTCAAAGCCAGGCCGTCAAGATGGCTCAGGGGGTGAAGGCACTTGTTGCCGAGCCTAAGGACTCGAGTTCCGTACCTGGGATGCACGTGTTTGGTGGAAGGACAGACTTTTAAAAGTTCAAGGTCATCCTTTTCTACATAGGAAAGGAGGCCAGTCTTTGCTATATGAGATCCTGGCTAGAAAGAAAGCAAAAGGAAGGAAGGGAAGTCCTGGCCCCTGCCATGCTCGAAGGGATGCCCACGAGCTCAAGAATTCTAGCCCTGAACTTGGCTTACAGCTTGTTGTGGAAAGGGATTGATCGAGGTAGAAGGGTAGCGCACTGTGGCACTCAGCAGACAGAGACAGACAGATCTCCAAAGTTCCAGGCCAGTCAGGGATACATAGTGAGACCCTGTCTCAAAAGTTAAAAACAAAACAAACAGACAGACAAAACCCAGAGAGATAGTTCAGGGGTAAAGACTCTTATCATCATGCCTGACTCCATGTGGAAAATGAGCACCTTTCTTGCGAATTGTCCTCTGCCCACCACATGAGCAGTGTGGTGCTTATGGCAACACAGAGACACAAATCAATGTTATAAAAATATTTTAAAAGCCTTTCCATTCCCACAGCTGGACATGGTGGATTACACCTTTCATCCCAGCACTCAGGGAGTGGAGGCAGGCGTATCTTTCTGAGTTTGAGGCCAGCCTGGTCTACAAAGCAAGTTCCAGGACAGTCAGGGCTGTTACACAGAGAAACCCTGTTTCAACAAAACAAAACAAACAAACAAACAAACAAACAAAAAAAAGCAAAACAAAAATATCTTTCCATTCCCATTGTAACAGGAAAGATTTATTTGTTTGTTTGTTTATTTTGAGGTAGCTATACCATAGCTCCAGTCTGTGTTTCAGGTCCTCAATTTACAGTGTAAACATCTACACTATGGCATGTGGGCCTCCATCTGTACTCTCGTTCTGAAGGAAGGACTCACTGGGTCACGACTTTATCTTGTCCCTAACAGTCTGAACACTTCAAGACAACATCGCAGAAGGTGGCCCGGAAGTTCTGGTGGAAGAATGTGAAGATGATTGTCATCATCTGTGTGATTGTCCTTATCATCATCATCCTCATTGTGCTCTTTGCCACCGGCACCATCCCCACTTAGAGCCCCTCTCAGGCCCCCTACTCTTCAGAGGTAACCCTCCCTGATGTGTGCCAAGAGGGGCCCTCTCCTGTCCTCCTCCACAGAAATGCTGCTTGGTCCCCATGAGGGCCTTCTGCGACATCTGCCCCAGGAGCACCTTGATCCCCCGGGAGGAGAGAGCTGGACTGTGCTGCATCTCAGGGGTCCTGAGAGTGGGTTAGAGACCCAGAGGACCCTGCTGGTGGCTGGCGGGCAATAAAGACCTTTCAGTGTCCCTAAGTGTATGAGCACGTCCCTCCTTTCTCTTCAGCCCTTCGGTTTCTCTCTTCCTGAGGACCCCCTCCTGACTGGTTTCTCCCCATCTAGGACCAAAGATAGAGAGCATAGCTATAGAGGAAAGATGGCAGCTCAGGGGCTTTGCACACCTGGATTACAGATGTGAGTCACTATGCCCAGCTAGAATCAATAATTCTGTCTGGCACACAC